TCACTTCCCTCTGGGTCACCCTGACTGTAAATTTTGTCATTGAGCCTTGCTCTGACAGCCCAGCTTTGGGTGTCGGGTGTCCTCTGCCCTTCTACAGCTGCTGGTCTCATTAGAGAGACCCATCACCCCGGGAGATCCCTCTCCCAGGGGTCTCCTTGGGATGGAGAGCCGATGCCTGACCCCTGACCCAACCCCTCCGGTCTGCCTGAGTAGAGGGAGATGAGCAGTCCTGTCTCCTTCAGCTGGGCTGGCTGTCCTCAGTCTCCAAGCTAGGTGTGCGGCAGTGCTGAGCTCATACCGCACTTCCAGGCCGCGAAGTTCGTTATGGCGTGTCTGGGGCTGCTCTGACTAGATTCCCTAAGCAGGCGCAATGCAGCCCTGCAGCTGCGAGGTTCATTACGCCAACCCCACGCTGCCAGCGCAGCCAGTCCTGCTCACTGCCTCTGACTGCTCAGACAATGAGCTCCATTATTTTTTCTGGTGTCACAGAGTCCAGGAGTGCAGAGTGCGCTTGTAACTTGCTCTTCTTATGCTTAAGTGGTGGAACTGAGATGTTTGCAGCAATTTCAGGACAGGAAGAAGATTTCTCTTTGATTGCTTTTTAATTACAGTGATAACAGTAATGGAAGCAGTAAGTGGAATTGATGGGAAAGAGCTGAGCTCTGTTCCCTGGTAACTCCCATGTGGGGTAAACAAGGAGGATTTACTGGCTTCTCAAGTGAGTTGGTAGTATCCTTGGTCTTCAGGCACGACTGTCGGCAATGTCTGGGAAAAAATAGCTGGTATCCAGTACCTGGGAGACAAAATACGCCAGGCATCCTTTGGAAAGCTGCCTGCCTTAGTGTATCTAGGGTAAACGCATAAACCTTGCCTGCCTCTGTTCTTACCCACCCAGATTCACATGTACAATTGCTCTTTTAAGCAGCTGTCCCGGCTACCTCTATGCATGTCTGGCCTTGAATCCACATCTTTAGCAGCCCACAGGGGATTTATTCTCTCCCTCAGAGACAAGAGAAGCCATGATATAGGCAAGAAATTTGAGCTGTGCAGAACCAGAGGCCTGTCTCCCCAGAAGGGTTGAAGTGGGTGGAGGGTCCCAATGGTGCCCAGAACCAACCTCCCCGGGAGACTTGGGTCCAGGCTGGGGCAAAACAGTGCCTCAGCTTAGCAGGTCTCCTCGCACCCTGGTCTCTTCCAGGCTGATCTTGGCCTGCGCATATGTGAACAAGCGCTTTTCTCCAGTGGGAACTGGTGAGGTTTAACTCTGGCAGCGGAGGGGCACTGAAATCACAAACAACCACAGGCTGAGGGGTTTCTAGAAATGCCCTTGCAGTGAAAGATTTGCGTGGCGCTGGTGTTTGGGAACTGACCTAACTGGGCATATCTGCAGGGTAGTCTCAAGGTATTATACTAGCAGTGCGGTGTATCAGTCTGGTTTTGACCTTCAAGGATATGGGAATTTTCTCTGAGCTGACATGACCCTGACTCAAAATACCCAGAAAGCAGTGAAAAGAAAGCCTCTAGGAGCTGGGAAAACGGGTTCTGCAAACCCCTTGCTCGTATAAAGAATATTTTGAAGAGACTTAACCTCAGCGAGACTCTTGCAAGCATACAAACATTACAGACAGAGAGACCTCATTCCCAGGGGTTTTGGTCAGACATGGAGCTTTCTCCTTTATTTCTGCAGTATGTTGCACACGTGAAGGGCCTCATTTACATCAGCGCAGTCGTGTCCTGTCTGAGGAGGTGGAATTCCTCTTGCTTTGCTGATCAAGACAAACACGATAGAAACAGTTCATGCACAATACAACGCAAAGCCACGCTGCTAGTTCCCCGGGACTGCGAGGTACAGCGGGGCCGGAGCTGTGCCCCATCCCGCGCTCCTCCAGCGGGGCAAAGGACTGCGGGGAGACCAGTGGGGCTGGGAGGGGAGGCCCGGCGTCCTCCCAGGCTAACAGAAACGGGGAGCAGCTCCGTTCCTGTCGCCGGAGCGTGCCGGTGTGAAAAGTCGTGCGTGCAAGGTCTGAGTGAGGCCCTTGAAGCGAGGAGAGGAAGAGGAGCAAAGAGGCAGTGGGGGCTGCAGAGGTGGGGTAGGGCATTGCTGGCGGGGAGGGGGCAGCGGGAGGAAGGGGACACTTGCTTCGCCAGGCTGGTCATTTGTGTGCTGGGCGAGGGGCAGTGCAGATCCTAGCTGACACCGCAGCAGGCCCTCTTTAGGGCAGGAAAGGAGGGGTCGGATTTTAATATCTGAGTTTTGGAGGAGGAGGGATCATGCCCACATTTTGGAGAACAGAAAGGAGGCGGTGGAAGCTTTTACTGGAACATAAGGGACCCAAGTGATTACTGGACACCTGCTCGGGGGCAAAACAAACAGTGAGTTGGGGGGGGGGGGGGGTTTTTTTTTTTTTGGGTTTTTTTTTTTTTTTTTTTTGGGGGGGGCTTATTTTATCCTTTCACACACATACTCAAACCCCTCAGTATTTCCTAGCAACTCTATCCCAGTTTCCCTTTCTTCACATCCTTCCCTACCATGCTATCCCCTTCCCCTCTGGTCATCAAGGAAAAAAAAAAAATTGTAAGTGCCATTTCAAGTATTCTGGAGCAACCAACTTTCAGCCTCAGCAGTTTTGTTTGAGGTTTTAAAAGCAGCAAGTATCTTTGCACAGGGATTAGCAAGAAAGTAATTTTTAGGAAGCGATAGGCGTGACCCCTCTCAGCAAGGCGTTGCAAGCATTTGGGGGTAGGAAAGGTGGGGGAAGCCATTCCAAAAACCACTTGAATAGAGCAAACTGTGAAAAGTAGCTGTCAGGTCTTGGTTCTCTGTTCTGCAGTTGCTTATCACCGTTTGAGGGCTCTGATCCTGCAATGGGCCATCTGCTCCCATTGACTGGCCTGGGGCGGTTTCTGCATAGCACGGACCCAACCTCTCAGCATTGTCCAAGGGGAAGGAAAACAATCTCAGTGAGATCATGGAAAGGTTTGTAGGCTGGATGCTGATATAATTCATCTATCCAGACAAATAGAAAATACCATCCTAAGCAAAAAGCTATGGTACTAATTCCTATTGCAGAAAAAATACCTGAACCAAAATATATAAATCAATTTTGGTTTAGGGGAATTAAAAAAAAACACAACAAAACAAAAAAGCACCCAACACCTGTGGCATCTAATCAATCTTGCATTAGTAGGATGGATTTTCTTTTTATTTCTTAATTTGAAAATGTGGCTGGAGGCGTACTTTAATGGGATAGAAAGCCTCTCTGCCCTCCACCAGCAGCTGGCCTTGGGCTGTAGCAGCTCCTGGCTTTTTGGAAGGCAGCTGGAGCAGAGCTGAGCTGACGAAGGGCCCTGAGGAAGTGTGCCACCACCGGCATGGGCTGGGGGGAGTCTGCAGGGATCTCAGGGGGGTGGCAGTGCTGGACCTGATCCCAGTGAGAGCTATGTGTCCCTGTCCGAGGCAGGGCCAGGTGATGGGGTAGAGAGGCATGGGAAGAGCTTTAGCCTGTTACGGCTCCCAGTGGCTGGTACCTCTTCATTCCAGGAAGACTTTGGGCCCCCCCAGCTTGGGACCTTTCACCACGACTTAATAACTATGGTCATATAAACACACTCAGGACAAGGGGGCAACTGGTATAGCAGAGTGGGAGGGGGTGCTACCCAAGCATGCATGCTTCCCAGGAGAAGCAGAGCAGCTCGCTCTGCAGAGGCAAAAGGAAGGGCATTGACAGAGAGGGAATAAGGAGGTGACAGCAGAGGATGGAGTTACGTTGTTAAGGCCTGCAGAGCTTTCAAGGTGATTTGGAAAAAGTCCTTGGTTCCTCTAGTAAAGGCTATTCCCTTCTGCACCTTCCCTCTCCCTGGCAGAGATTAGAGCAGTAAGGTTAATATAGTAGCAGGTACATCCATGAAAATCCGCAGCTGAGTCTTCACTCCAAGTGCTCCCAGCTCTTCCCTAAATCTTCAGGACTCAAGGTGCCTCGTTGGAAGTGGTTCCATTGCCTTTGTTGACGTAAAAGGGGCGGTAATGTGACTGCAATGGAGAATTTGGGGCATGTGAGTTTGACCTACCTTCTTTTTCTGACTGCCTATACTTCACCCTCCTAGGTAGCCCAACCATACGTATCTTAACATACTCTTAACACTTTTAGTCTTTCCTCTTGCAGAGCAACACTGCCTCATTTCACTACCGGAGGTGCTGGAGTGATCAAATGTAAATGGTGTTGGTTTTTGATTTACACACATGCTTTACATGGACTTCATTCCTGAGCCAAATGAGTCTGTGCATCATATAAAATCTCAGACTATGACTCATGGTTTGATGAGAGGTTTCTGGGAGAAGAGGAATGTCACCTTTATTTTTATGCTTCTGTCAGTGTCTTTTAATTGCTCGCTAACCTGAGAACTCATGGGAGTTTTCACACTTAAAACCATGCACAGTTATGTGAGTGATCAATTAAGTCCCGTGGTATTTATTTGTGCTCTCTGGCTGGCAAGCCAAAACTCTTGTGCATGGAAATTCTCACACAATGGTGTATTGTTTATTCACACCTCCACATGTTGCAGGGCCCAATACTAAATGTTTGTGTAAACAGAAGCATAACTGGAGAGACAGGGGCAGAGCCTAAAGGAATTGCCATTTTCCTGTGTCTGTTTACTGCAGTCCCTAATTGTCTCTCTTCACATCAGGACCTAGCCCTGGAATTTCATTCTTATCTGCACCATTACAAATAAGCAACACGTGGCAAAGTTGTCATGCAGCCTAGTGTTGGCTTGGAATCACTGCAAAACACAAAAGCCAATTTATTGACTATGATAGCTGGTTGCACTGTTCCAGGCAAAATCTTTAGCCTGGATAAGAATACGCTTATACCAATGAAGCAGTGACCAAGGCAATCAGGAACAACTGTGGTTTTGTAATGTCTGATCTGTCTTAGGTTTGATCCACTGCCCAGATCTCACTTGCAGAAGATGGGAGACACCTCACAGGAACATGCTGGTACATTTTTGTGCAGCGCACTGGTTAATACCAGGCACGGCAGGAGGCTGGAAGCATGGGCAGAGCAAACCCAACCCAACCCATCTTGCGGCTCAGTGCTGACTCCCAATTCCTCCTGCTCAATGTTCCCTTTTGTTGGGATTCTTTTCATTTTATGGCTTTAATTTCCAATATAATTAAGAGATGGAAGGGCGGCTTCATTTTAAAGAACTCCCTGTGGGTTAAAAAGACATTCCTCCTTAAACAATATAGTCCTTTGTGAAAATTTATATTTACAGAGCTTTTAGAATGTGTGTTACTTAAATACATATTTAAGACTATTTTAAAAGCTAGATTATTGGCCCAATAGACTATAAAAGCTCCTGCAGAACTACTGCAGTCCAGAGCATGTATTTCTATTTTGGGACTTTTTAATGCTTATATTTATCAACTTAATTGTTAGGTTCAGGGCTATCTGGTGAATATAGGCTATAAAAATAAAATAGCCGGTACAAGCGTATGCATGAGAGAGAAAGGGAGACAGAAGACGACTGGTGACTTCGTGTGGGAGAAGTTACCAAGGCTTTCTCTGTGGGGATTAGGAAAACATGGGTTGTGTTCACGGAGCACAGCACACTGACTGTCGTGCAGTGGGGTGCTTATTGCTAAGATGACTATACTCGTATCCACCAGTGCTAACAGAGACTTCACTTTCCTGACCAGACTTCCCCAGTATAACACCACCATTAGGGAGGATAGGTTGGTACCTAAAATTACTGGGAAGAGTCTCTATCTGAGCACATACACAATGAAGTAGATGATTTTTTAGAAAGGCGGTGATTAAATATAAGATGGAAGATATTACAAAACTTTGCTGTTCCTAGGAGATATGTTTTGCTGTAGTACGTTCAGAGACTCAAGGCTGGATTTTCTGAAAGTGATACAGTCTACCAAGGAACATCCCTTTCACTGGCATTCATCTCCTGGTGGGGCCTTGAAAATTTAGCAGAGACATAGAGCTGCAGTGCTTAGGCAGCCACTTCCTAACTGTTGTGTATTTCCTCTGTTTTCTTCCTTCAGTGTGGGAATGCTCTCGATTCTTGACCCTCTCCTTCTTACAAATCTTATTCCCAGAGAACAGTAAATAATCTTTCACAAATGTATAATCGGATTCAAAAATTAGATTTCATCTGCAGAGATGGGGGCAAAAACTTGACGATCTTAATTCAGATAGTGCAAGATCTCAATGCAGCAAGCACAGTGTGAATGGATGTTAAGAAAAATAGATGAACTTAGTGTTCCTGTGGTTATGCATTAACTTATATTTAAGATTACAAGACCTAAAATATCGCTGTTCTCTGCCCCTTACAATGCACTGTTACCTTTTTTGTGCTAACAGTGCAAAATGAGTGACTTACAGATGTTCTAGTGATTTATGATCGTAGTCTGATCCCTCATCTTTGATATTGTATCTGCCACTGTAGGATGTAATTAGCAAGAGACTTTTATATGGTTGTCTCTGGTGTCATTTATACAATGTGTGTTTTCTAGATGTCACAGACTACTAAGAGCATATGATATCTCTGCAGGGAGGAAAAGTAGTACAGATAGCAGCATGTGTGCTATAGTATTTGTATGGCTTCTAGAAGCCTGGATCAAATTTTAGACCAGGGCAAAATCTTTTCAAAATGTCATTTTGAAGTATTGATTCTTCCTACAACTCAGAACTGTGGAAGCAGGGGGGTTAATCTGTATCCTGCTGTGGATGCAATTAACCACAGGAAAAAAAATAGAAGTGTTGACTTGGAGCTTTAACTTTCTCATCTCCAAAGGACCCAAGCCCTAGTCTCTGAAGTCTCAGGTATCCCTAGAACAGATAGTTCTCTTGCTGAAGCTGTGCACGTGCTTTCACACCAAGGGTATATTTCTTACCAATACAGACTGCTTAGAGGATTTCCATGTCTGTGGCGTCACCTTTGCAGACTGATGTCTCACTATTGAAGGATAAGCTGTGACAACATAAAACAGCCTGTTATAGATCAGTCCCTGCCACCATCCCCGTCTCCCCTTGTGAGCGTCAAGCTGAGTGGCAGGACTGGAAGTGCTACATAATTAGTATTGCATTGCTTAACATTGAAATGTAGCCATTTCTGGGGTGGGACGCAACAGCCGTCAGACAGATGCCTATTCCACCACCCAATCAGTTAGGAAAAGGGAGTAAAGAAGGTCTGTCTAATTAAAATGTCTGAGGAATGCAGAAAGGTGGAATGCAATCAGTCCAATTAAATTTAGGCCAAGTTCTGAACTAAGCATTCTGACTCTTGCAAAGAACACTATAGGCTATTTAATTAGTGCAAAGAGCTGAGGCCGGGGTTTCGTGTCAAAAATTAATGACAGTACCTCTGGCAGCGAGATAAGCCCTAACCCCCTTCTACCACACCAGCTCCTTTCTGATTCAAAAATAATACCAGCCCTGCTGAATCACAACCTGTTTCAGTGCTATCAGGCAATGGCCTTTCCCCACCATCTCCCATTCGCAAATTAATCAGACCTGACTCTGCTTGGCAGGTGCTGATGCCCTTGGATTCCCCTCTGGTGCCCTTCAACTAGTGGGTAGTGAAAAGAGGATTATGAGATGGTGAATGGGGGATTCTGGTTCAGATGAAGGAGGACAGGCAGCTACTGCATATGGGTTTTTTTAAGGTTATGCTCAGTGGTTATTATTCTTTCAGGACAATAGCCGTTTTAAAACACTGATGAAGCTAGAGGGGTAAATGGCCATGAACATAATTTCCGAGTATCTTTCTCTCCCTGGTCCCTACACCTCTAAAATAATCTAAAATTCTCATCTCTACCCATTACAAACAAAATTTAAAACCCCTTCAACTATTCACTAGATATAACTTTTTAACACTCCTTAATAAACTCCTGTTGCCCTGGTTCAGC